TTTGAAGAGACTCTTACGGTAAATTCAGAGGGAAGGTACGAAGTAGCATTACCTTGGGTGTTGGATAGCTCGCTTTTACCCGAAAACAAAGTGATAGCAGAAAAATGTCTTGTAAGTACTAAAAGAAAATTAATGACTACGGGAAATTTTGAAGCTTACGGAGACATTTTCCAGAACTGGTTAGCACTCAGGATAATTGAAAAAGTACTGGATAAGAATAAATATAAGGGTGTACATTATTTACCTCATAGAGCAGTTGTTAAAGAAAAATAGTAGCACGAGTATAAGACCGGTGTTTAATGCAAGTTCTCATTCGCCTGGTTACCCATCATTGAATGATTGTTTATCTACTGGACCAAATTTAATAGAAATTATACCTTCGATTCTTAATCGGTTTCGCAAGAATTACGTTGGTGTCACTTCAGATATAGAAAAAGCATTTCTTGCAAATATCTATAAGGGAAAAAGACAGAGACTTTTTGAGATTTGTATGGTTCAGTAGGGATAATCAAGAACAAGTTGAACTGTATCGGGCATGGAAGGGTAGTTTTTGGTATTACGTGTAGTCCGTATTTATTGGCCGCTACAGTACTACATCATTTGAGTGTAGTTCCCGAAAGCTTAAGTCATACAGCGGAGATTTTGAAAACACATCCTTTTACGTGCAGATAACTGTGTGGCTAGTATGGAATTCAGAAGTAGAAATGAGAAAGTTTGTAAATGAATCACAAATAATTATGGCTTCGGTCATTTTAATTTAAGATTCCTGGAAATCCAATATAAGAAGTGTTGTGCCAGAGGAAGATTCCTCCACAGGAAGGAGATGTGTCTGTTTTGAGGCCTTGTATGGCATACAGTTACAGATACCTTATCTTGCAAAATAAGTCAAGATATAAAATTGGATGACCCAGTTACTAAAAGACTAGTTTTAGCAGTAGCTCATCAGGTGTTTGTTTGACGTTATAGGGTATACGGCTCCTGTAATGTTGATTCCAAAACTAATTTTACAGGAAACTTGGAATTTAAGGCTTAAATGGGACGATGTTCTTCCCGATGAATTAACCAAAAAGTTTAGGTTTTGGCTTAAAAAGTTGTACTTGCTATCCAGTATCCAAATATCTCGATGGGTAGGTCTCAAATCTATTAATGAAGCTGTGAGTATACATCTATTTTGTGACAGTAGTAAAAGTGCGTATGGTGCATGCGTCTTTTTAAGAGTACAGAGTGGCAAAAAGGTGAAGGTTAGTTTGATACACGCAAGATCGAGAGTAGCTCCTTTAAAACCTATTATGATTCCTCAATTAGAACTTCTTGCTTGTAATATTGGTTCTAGGTTATTGTCTTCAGTTGTTAATGATATTGGCCTACATGAAGTTCGTATTCATTGTTGGACTGACTCCTCGACGGCTTTAAGTTGGATACAGCGAAATCAACGTTGGGGAGCATTCGTTTTTAATCGTGTACAGGAAATCAGGTCGTTGACCTCCCCCACTGTATGGCGACATGTCCCTGGTAGTCTCAATCCTGCTGACCTACTTTCTAGAGGTTGTTATGCAGATCAATTAATAGAACGAAAATGGTGGGAGGGACCTGATTGGTTACGGGAAGATGAGGCAAATTGGCCTAAATCTAATGATGAACCAGATGAGGATTTGGTTAATTCAGAAATACGTAAGACAGTTATTGTTACGTTGGCAAAGAGTGATAATTGTATTGGATGGTACTATAAGTATTTCTCTCATCATTTAAGAAAATTGTAAGAATGTTATCATGGATATTCAGATTTTATAATAATGTACGTAAGAATAATAATAATAATAACCATTCTAAGGATTTGACTGTATCTGAAATAGAAAGGGGAGAAAGAAGAAATAGCTTTAATGTTATTAATACAAAAAGAGTCGTTTAATGGTGAAACAGATGATAAGCTAAGACGACTCAGACCATTTGTCGATAGAGAGGGTCTAATAAGAGCTAAGTCTAATGTTGCTTATCGTGACGACTCTAGCAGCTTTAAGTTCCCCATCATATTACCTTCTGAGCATCCAGTAGTCAAATTATTGATATTAAGTGCACACAAAGATTTGTTGCATGCGGGTACTACATTATTGATGTCGCATTTTAAGAGAAAGATACTGGATCTTAAAATCACGTAAAACTATAAGGAACTGTATAAGAAAATGTGTAACATGTCAGAGATTTAAGGCTAAAAGAGGTGAGACAGTCCCAGGCGTTTTACCCAAATGATAGGGTTCGTGATTCAGCCATTTTTTGAAATCGTTTTAGGGTGTGATCTTGCAGGACCCTTGCATTTAAAGGATGGACGAAAATCGTATATTGTGCTCTTCACCTGTGCGGTTTATCGTGCTATCCATAAGGAACTTGGTTGCGTGCAAGTTGGAGGCGCGCAACGTTACAAAACTGAATCATTTTTTCAAGGCTTTAAGGCGTTTTATCGCACGTCGTGGACGCCTCTACCAACCATATATTCCGATAATGGGAAAAATTTTGTGGGTGCAGAGAGAGTTCTTGCAAACCATTGACTTAGGACTGCCTCTGCTCTAACACTGCTGAAAAGAAGAATACAATGGAAATTTAATCCTCCATCCGCCGCTTGGTGGGGTGGAATGGTGGGAGCGTTTAATACAAATTGTAAAACAAATATTGAGAAAAAATTTTAGGTCGTGCTTCTCTTGGTTATGAAGAGTTACTCACCTGTCTTGTGTGGATTGTGAAAGAATTGTCAACTCAAGACACTTACGTACGTGGTCTGACGATATTGAATATCCCTTGCCTTTAACTCCAGGAAAAATTTCTGCATGAAACTCCACAGTCGGGTTGTACCTGATATTGACAGTGTGGACAAAGAAAAATTGAGTAGAAGAGCGAAGTATCTCCAGAGAATGAGGGAATTGTTAAGAGTGAGATTTCGCTGTGAGTATCTAGGGCGCAGTTAAGACAGCAGTCTACCAATAAATTACAAAAATAAATCCTCTCTCTGTAGGAGAAATTGTCTTGTTGGAGGATCAAAATAAAAAACCGTGCATATTGGAATTTAGCACGCGTTATTCGAGTGATCCCTGGTCGAGATGGCAACATAAGAGTTGCTCTTGTAAAAAGTAATAATTCAGAGTTCTTGAGACCAATACAGAGAGTTGTTTAGATTGGAACTGGATAATATAATAGATAATACTCAAAATGAGCAAGTTCCTTTCACCCACCAGTAGTGGTAGAGTTGTAAAATCACGAATAATGTAATTTATGTCTTTGAGTTATTATGATTAATTTTTGTGCTATTATTGTTGTATTATTCCTCAGTATTAATTTGTTTCAAGTAATATGATTTAAGTATTAAGTAATTTTCTTTGTTATAAACCATCATTTATTGATGATGTAAGTTTTATGTTTTGAGTGTATAGCCATCCACTCAAAAGGTGGGAGAATTGTGGCGACACACTGCCTTTCTGTGGCAACCCTAAAGAATTTGTCTGTCACGAGGATCACGTGCCCAGATGATGCATCATTACGTCTACGTCTGCTTTTCTGTTTGATAGTTAGTTGCACTTAAGATTTTGTAGAATTAGAAATGTCGTGAAAATAAATGTTTGTGTTTTTAAAAAGTGTCGGCTCAGATTTTCGAACCTATGATTTACTTGTTAAGCAACAGCAGCCATAAGACAAGAAATTGCCGCAATTCCTCAAGAAATGATCCATCGGGTAATGACGTGCTTCTATGAGAACCTACAAAAGTACATCGACAAATAATGGCCGTCATTTTAAAAGATATCATTTTTAAAAAATAACGTTCCTAAATGGCTTGAAATGTAGATTTAAAAAAGAAATAAAAAAAAGTTTTTCCTTTATGTAGTTTGCTTTTCATTGACATCCCAAATAGTACGTATTTTTTTGCAGGTGTGCCTAGAAATACATCTACTTTAAGATGATAAAAATTTTGTAGGTTATAATAATTTTTTTTAATTTATAAAAAATATTTAGAAATGCAAATTTTAAAAATAAATCGCAAAAAATCTGCGAATTAAATTCAAATTAAGCCTAAATTTTAAATTCTGGGAGAAGGAATCAAGTAAGTTTAATAAAAAAAGAGATATTAATAAATATATATACCAAACTCAATTAACATGGAGAAGCTAACATTTTGAGATCTAATTTTTTAAAAACTAATTGTGCAATTTTTACAAAAACTTGGCAGTTTGGCAAAATTTGAGTCATAGAATCAAAATATGGAAAAAAAAATGGCATGTCATTTCAGAAAAAGTTTGATTTTATGTCAAAATGCCTATATTAAAACAATGCTATATGTAAATTCAATACGTATCCTAGGTTGCACTTTCGAGACATGAAAAATGCAAGTTGAATTTCATCAATCGGCTCAGTAGAACAGGAGATATAGAACTGTCTCCCTTCCCCCCTCACAGTGTACATTAATAAGAAATGAAAGTCAATCTTTTGTTTACACAAAAGTATATTTTTACCTGAATTTTCAGGTCTTTGTATCCTAGGCTGTGTATCAATAATTATAACTTTACATGCAATTTATTTCGAGAATTTGATTTTTAGAAAAAGTCTCATCTACTTGTTTCAATTACAACCATTCTTTACTGTCTGCATAAAAAGTATACTTCACTTGTCTTAATATTTGGCATTAAATTTATCAGCTAATTTGAAACTATCTCTCTTAATTATATAAAACCCATTCTAATAAACTCTCATACATATGAAGTGTACCACAGAGAAAAATTCAGTAATAAAACTAAAATTTGTGCAGTTAAAAGTAAGGATATGAGTCTTTCCAACTGCAATGTATCTGATCTCATTATTTTCTTGCTTTCTTCGTAGTAGTAAAAATTAAATATTAATTATATGCTAAATATTTTTAAAAGTATCTTATATCCATTAAAACAAAAAACTAATAGTTTTTACTTTTCTTATTTAAATGATTTTTTTTTTTTTTTTTTAATTTTCATATTTTAAATCATTAGAATCATTAAAGAGCATGCAGATAATGCTGCATTTCAAAATAAAACCATTGAAATCCTACAAGGCCAGTCACAGCAAGCTGAATCTGAACTGAACAAAACCAGAGAAGCTTTTCTTCAGTCTCAGGTATGTTTTGTTATATAAATAAGATTCAATTATACTTGCAAATTTAATTTTTTAAATTTCATTTATTTATTTATTGTAAGCATATTTGATTTTATATTGGCTTTAGCTTTTCATATGAAGTGGTATAAAAATATTTCAAGACTAGCTGTATTTACAAGAAAGTACTATATTTATCTATGTTTACACACAATTGCCTTCAAAATAGTCACCTTGTACAGCGCTACAACATTCCCAATATTTCTGCCGCTGCTGGAATGTGTCCTGGAAGTCTTTTCAAAGCATGTCAAATACCATCTTGGATTTACACTGGATCCCCATAATAGTATCAAAAAGCAACCTTTGAGCTGGATCTTCAGCTTTAGGAAAATGGCGAAATCTGCAGGAACCAAATTTAGCAAGTAGAGGTGTAGAAGTGCAATCATCTTTTTTTCTAGTGAGAAACTCATGTGAGTAGAGTACAGTAATAGGGTGCATTGTTGTCATGGAGCAGCCAGTTTTCTATGTGCCACAGATCTGGTCGCTTTCACCATTATCTGCATTATCTATATCTGGCACCCCAACAATGGCAACAATGGTATGAACTATTCGCCGATGATCTTCATTCTGAAGTTGTTGAATGTTTTTAATATTTTTGAGTGTTTTGCTCGTTTGAATTTCATCCTGATCTCTCGTCTTCTAGTGATGTTCTTCCACTCCTGAAGTGTGTGTGCCTCTCAAAATCAACTAATTGCAGCATCAATGTACACTTGCCGAATCATATTAAGCATCTCTATGGTGGATTTTCCCAGTTTCACATGGAATTTCATGTCTGCTTGTTGTTCCAACTTGCTGTCCATGATAAAATCGCAGACATGGTAACGTAAGTGGTCAGAATAGCATCTGCTACACAACTGCTGTTGTGCACAGAATGTTGTCTCTTGGCACACTGATTTATGAAGGTCGGTGCTTCTTGTGAATGTGTATGCAGCATTGCGCTGCCATCTGTTGGCTTGTTACAGAATTAGTCTTGAAATTTTTTGAAACCACCTGATATATATGATTATGCTAAAACGGCATGTTGAAACTTCAATATGCAGATTCATGTTTAAAGTTTTGATTTTCATTTTATGAAGTATGTTTTCTACTTTAGACTGAACATATGCAACAAATGAGTAAAATGGAGGAAGAACACAAGCATTTAGTTGAAAGTTACTCTTCATTACAGAAGAAATGGAATGAAGTAAATGGTTAGATTCTAAATTATAATTGTATGTATATGTAATATTTTGGCAGTAGGGCACATGAGTGAAACTTGTCAATCCAATGACGACACAGAAGGATTTAAATTTATAGCCCCATATCTTTATTCACTTCAAAAAGCATATCATCATTCTTTACTAAATAAGATTAAATTCACTGCATCATAGTATTCTAACAAAAGCCCCGTTCACATGCAACACTCCTTTGCACAGCTGCCATTAGCAAGAGGAGAAAAAGAAGACATGAAAGAGTTTCATCTTTAGGACCCGTTCAGAAGACCACCGTCTTCCTTCCCTTTGTACCTAAGCCTCTGTGAACAATCGTCTTCGAATTGGCAGATTTCTATACTTTTGCACATTTGTAAACATTGTTTACTGTTGTTAATTTTAATGTACTTTCGCAACTGGTACCGAGCTTTCGTATGGTTCTGAAAAAATAGTTTTTAATTATATTATTATTTTATAAGCTGTATAGTTCACTTGGTGCTTGGCGCTATGGTTAAAGGATGGTTTATGGATTTTTAAACTGCTTCCGATAAGATATAGAAAACTTTGTACATATACTGCTTTGTGTGGTGCCATGCTTGATTTTAGAGATCAGATTTTTTTCAAATTTAAAGTTGAAAACGATTTTTGCAAATAGTACCAAAACTGAGATCTCAGAATATTTAGTTTGCACAATAACGCACTGTGGAGGAAAAAAAATTAAATGAAATTTTTAGCGTAATTAAAAAAAAATAATTTGGGCGAATTGTTGAAATCGTTCTATTTTTAGACTTCGTGACGGCCATTAATTTTTTTAAAATTCATACTAAAAATATATCGGTTACAAACTTCGATATTTTCACAGCTTATAAAAGAAATTTTCACATTTAAAAAAAATGATAAAGAAAATTATTGGGTGATTTTTTTTTTTTTTTTTTCTTTTTTTAAAAGATGCAATGAGCGAATGGGAAATATGGTTCTTCTTGGCATCAGCGAAAATCGGTTTCAAAGTATAATAATCTCATTATGCCACACTATTTTTATGACATTATTTATAATTATTTTCTCACAAAACCATTTTATAATATTCATAAAAAGTAGATGAAAGCTTAATTTTTTTTTTTAACTTTAGTTGAATTTGAATGAATTTCTGGAAGACTTGTCTTAGGGTTATTTTCCTTATCTTGTACAGTTCTATCTAATTTGGGGGGGATGCTATACATCTCCAGACATCTATCAGCGTGATTGTTTCGCTGACAGTCCAGCGAGCAGTAACTAAAATTAAGTGAACCGCGCAGTATAGTACGGGAAATCTCTCCATTTGCCCTGCTCCCAAGAGGTAAGGAACATTACCTCTCGGGAGACAGCTACCTCCAATTCGGCGAGACAGTTAATGCTTGTTCCCATGTGAATGGGACATGTTGGAAGAACTGGTTTTTGCTACCAGTCGAATCTGCTCTTGTGAACGGGGCTAAATGGAGGCAGATGAGAGTAGCAGCATAGATCCTAATACCAGTAGAGGCAGAAAGCAGTCTCCTACGCAAAATGGCACGAGTTCTGTATTTATAGGAGTGGTTACATAATAGGCTTGATTGTTCTCGAAAGTACTGGTCTAGGGGGAAGATCCTGAAATTGCGGAAAGTTAATTAAAGGTTGCTTCTTCGCATAGAGCAAAGCCATCGTGTTTTTTAATTTTGCATATATATAATATATTATATATATATTAGATATATACAGGTATATACAATGCTAAATAGTTGGTTAAATTTTAGGTTTGTTTGAGGGTAATATAAAGGTGTTTAAATTTAGAGATTAGAACATATATTTTGTTAATTAAAAAAAATTAATAGTCAAAATTTAGATGTGAAATATAATGTGAGATCACAGAATACTAAAAGTTGAGAAATATTTGAATTTTAGAATACTGAGCACATCAGTGGCTCTTAACATTTTCTAACATAGTACTCAAGAATTGAACTTAATTATTTGAGAGCAGTTGCTATTGACCAAGGATTTTCTCTCGTGATCATTGATAAAGCCGTTAAAAAATTTTCAGATTCCCATCAAAGAGACATTCCACTGTTAGAATATATTAATGACCTTGTCATGCTTCCATTTTATCCTTCTGTTAGTTATAAAGTTGCACGGATTCTCCAGAAATTCATTTTTTAAGTCATATACTCCCCTATCAATAAAATTCACAGTTCGATTCTAAAAGATTGAGTTTCTGATTTTCATTCTTAGGGAATTTGTAGTATATCATGTCAGTGTAGCTTGAGATATATTGGCCAAACAAAAAGAGCATTAAAGTTTCGTATCAAGGAACATGAATTTTATGTCTGAAAAGGCGAAATTAACAAGTATTCAATAGCATATCATACTTGGAAATTTAATCCTAATTTTGGCTTTGGTTCTGCAAAAATTATCCAAAAGGCTTCTTCTGTTGGTGGATTGGATTTTCTTGAGGCTTTTCATATTCACAAGGATTTAACATGTTAAGTGAATGATTTTAAGTCCAATTCAGTCCTTCCTAATGATTTTAAAATTCTATTGTCATAATTCTTTTTTATTTTTGCCGACAGATGGCATTGCTTCCTTTCATTTGGTGCTACCGGAGCGTATAAAAAGCCATTACAGAGGTTGCTTTCCCTTTATTCAAGGTTCGGTCTTGGTGCATGAAGGTGCAGTTGCCCCTCGCTCACTATTTTTTGACTTCGCTGATTTGTTTGCTTTTTAGTCTATGTGTTATATGTTTGATCAGATAGCCTGGCTCAGTAAAAGTAGGTGGCCAGTGTAAATCTGACTCAAAATCCGGTTACGACCATGTGTGTGCTGATAATGATCACGTGTTTCTGAGACTCCTTTGTCAATGCTTTATTTTTCTTCTTTTTCCCCTTTCTAGTAATTTCGTTCTCATGATGAGGAGGGACCTGTAGGTGCCCTCAAAATCGATTGAGTGTTTTAATATATGTATGCTAAACACAAGGTTGTTATTGCAATTTTAATTAATTTTGCTCAACTCACTAGTGACCTAGTGTCAATCAATAATGGTAGTTTGACTTATATTGAAATCCCAGCAAACAGGCTGGCTTCATGGGCACTTTTATAGTTTTCTGTATCTGTAACTTAAAGATGAGCCAGTTTTTATAGGAAATCTTTCCTTAGACAGATAGCTGTAGTATACTTTATTATAATAAATTAAACAAAACATATTCTGCATTCTGACTTTTAAATAATTTTTTTGGGGGAGGGGAGTTGCTTCCCAAAACAGTTTCATGTGTAAAACTTATTTTGCTGGTTATACTACATATCAGTATAGATATACAAATATTTTTTAATATAAAGCAAACATAGTACATACATACATGCTTAATCTCTTTTAAATATAAGTAGTATATTTTTTAATATTAAGAAAACAAAGTTCGATGAAACGTTTTGGATTATTTGATTATAGCTAATCATGCAAGAGACCTGTGATGAGGTATTCTTCTTCTTACTAGAAATTAATTTGTATTTATTTTAAGCATGACAAAAGTCACAAAAACCACAGTCAGTTAGCTTATTTAAAGTAAAGGTTAAATTTTTGAAAGAAGAGTGACATGTTATATTTCTTAAGAAAATGTTTGTCCTTTTGTACTTATAAAGTCCAATTAACTTAGCATTAAAGGATATTTAACATTTTATAACACTGTTGAAAACTTGAAATAATTTCCTTTACTTGTTTCTTCTTTAAAACTTAGAAAACTTACAAAATTTAAATGGCTTAAAAACTTGAGTCAATAATCTTTTGTTAAAATTCATTTCTTTTTCTAAATACAACTTATTAGTTAATAAAAGCATATTAAATTTTTAGTGCAACCATTTTAGCAATATTTTTTTATATTGTTACCAAAATGCGGATTGAGAAAAACAATGAAGGTAAGCATTGTTCTTTATTATATAATCTCTGTCTATAATTCTATAGTCATGGAATTCAATTAATTTCTGTGTATTAATTCTTGATAGTACTCAAAGAACATTGTGTTATTTCCGAGAATTAGCGGAGCTAAGGTGCCTGCATTGATGATTGGGATCAGGATTCATTTGCATCACTTTAAGAAGAAATATTTTAGCCTGTGGGCATTGCAAAGATCTGCTTTTTGAATAGAATTCCTTTTCATTACCTTTAAGCAAAAATCATAAAAGCAAGCTAAGTTTATTTATGTACATTAAAGTGTATATCTGTAACATGATCTAAATTTGTTCATGATCGCAAAAGGGTTAAGTGAATTTAATTTTTCAGATGCTTTTGATAGATAACATACACCGTGTTTCAAAAAGAATATACGTATTACAAAGTGTTACTTTGTCCAAACTATCAATCACTGTGCCTCGGCTCGGCTATTGCCGAAACGAAATACATAATCTAGTTTATATTAATAGCGGCTAGATGTCAGTTGTCTTCTGTTTTGTGTTGCAACCATCACATGTTTAAAATGACTACTTTGCAGCAGAAATTATTATTTTGTATTCTCGAGTTTGTGAAGTGCAATTCTGTGATTATAATGCAAAGATGTTTTAAGTTGAGGTACCAAAATGATCATCCGAATGTGTGGAACATTTGCAGATAGTATCAACAGTTTGTAAATACAGGATGTGTATGTAAAGGAAAGAATCCTGGCTTCTCTCGTGTTCCCAATGAAAATGTTGCTAGAATTCAAACTGCTTTCCAACGTAGTCCTTCAAAATCAACTCAACGTGCCAGTCTGGAGTTACAGCTGCCTACAACAACACTTTGGCATGTTTTGAGACGTCGGTTTGGTTATGAAGCCGCACAAGTTACATTTGTTACAGGCTCTGTGTCCTGATGACAAACACAAACATGTGGCATTTTGTAAACGAGATTATTGATGCTATTGACAGTAACACTTTTGCACAATGCATTGTATTCAGTGATGAAGCGACTTTTCATATTAGTGGTCATGTAAATAAACACAATGTTCCAATTTGGGGCCTACAGAACC